GCACAGCAACTAAGAGATAGCATAGATAAATGGGACTTCATTAAACTAAAAAGCTTCTGCTCAACAAAAGAAATTGTCTCTAAACTGAAGATAACACCCACAGAGTGGGAGAAAATATTTGCCAGCTACACATCAGACAAAGGACTGAAACTAGAATATATAGAGAACTTAAAACTCAATTCTCCCAAAATTAATGAACCAATAAAGAAACAGAAATTTCTAAAAGAAGAAATTCAAATGGCCAAAAAACACATGGAAAAAATGCTCACCATCTCTAGCAATAAAGGAAATACAAATTAAAACCACACTAAGATTCCACCTCAACCATGTTAGAATAGCCATCATTAGCAACACCTCTAACAATAGGTGTTGGAGAGGATGCGGGGGGGGGGGGGGGGGGGGGGGGGGCCCCTCTTATACTGCTGCTGGGAATGTAAACTAATATAACCACTCTGGAAAAAAATTTGGAGGCTACTGAAAAAGCTAAACATTGATCTACCATTTGATCCAGCAATACCATTCTTGGGGATATACCTAAAAGAATGTGACACAGGTTACTCCAGAGGCACCTGCACACTCATGTTTATTGCAGTACTATTCACTATAGCCAAGTTATGGAAACAGCCAAGATGCCCCATTACTGACGAATAGATTAAGAAAATGTGGTATCTATACACAATGGAATTTTATGCAGCCGTGAAGAAGAACGAAATGTTATCATTCGCTGGTAAATGGATGGAATTGGAAAACATCATCCTGAGTGAGGTTAGCCTGGCCCAAAAGACCAAAAATCGTATGTTCTCCCTCATATGTGGACATTAGATCAAGGGCAAACACAAGGCGATTGGACTTTGAGCACATGTTAAAAGCGAGAGCATACAAGGGAGTATAAGGATAGGTAAGACACCTAAAAAGCCAGATAGCATTTGTTGCCCTCAATGCAGAGAAACTAAAGCAGATACTTTAAAGCAACTGAGACCAGGAACTAGAGAACAGGTTAGATCAAAAAGAATTAACCTAGAAGGCAACACACATGCACAGGAAATCAATGTGAGCCAACTCCCTGTATAGCTATCCTTATCTCAACTAGCAAAAACCCTCATTCCTTCCTATTATTGCTTATACTCTTCTCTACAACAAAATTAGAGATAAGGGCAAAATAGTTTCTGCTGGGTAGCATGGGGGTGGGGGGACAGGGAGGGGGCAGGGTTGGGGGGAAAGGAGGGTGGAGGGGGAAGGGGGAGAAATGGCCCAAACATTGTATGCACATATGAATAAAAAAAGTTTTAAAAAAAAGAGATTGATACAAAAAAGGGTAAAACTTTCACATAAAACAGGATTATTGGCATTCTCTGTGAACACAAGTGCAGCTTCTTACGTAAAAAAAAGACCTGGTTGCCACTCATCCTACCAATGCTTACACTGCCAGAGGCCCTATAACTACTGAAACAAAAAATCAGCAACACAAAACATAGTAAATTAAAGACTTGGAACTTCTAAAAAAAAAACTGTCCATCCTGTGGGAAGGAAGAAAAGCAGCCATGAGAGCCAGGACAGCTCTCAACAAAGATCGAGTCCCACTTAGGATACAGAAATTCTCAGCAAAGGAAGGTTAAAATTTTTCCCCTTTTTTTTTTTTGTTTTCTTTTTCATTAGGTCATTCTGCCTGAAATTCCACTGTTCGGATTAATGTACCCTCTCCAAAACTGCAAACATCCCTAGAAAGGAAGCTTATTGGTTATCAGTCATTTTCACTGGCAAGAATTCCTGTAGTCAGACAGCTGTGCTCCTGAGTTTGAACTCAAGGAGATGATTGTGCAATTGGGAGCACTTGTGGGTAGGGCAGAATTATGTAAGAACTGGCCTGCACAGTAGATGGAGACAGCTAAGGGACATACATAACCAGTACAAATGATTAGCTAAGGCAGAAAATCCACAATTTTCTGCTGTTTTCATGGGTTTCAATTTTCATAGGCTTACACCCATGAAAGAGGAAGATTTATTTCTCCTTTTTTGCCTTTTCCTACTCCCTTCTGGATTACTCTTACTATACTATGAAATGGGCTAAAATCATCTCATGTGTGAACTGCATACAATGTAATTAATCATAAAACTTTCCAGAAAAAATTAGTTCCGACTTCCATACAATGAATTTTTCATGGAACTTTATGAGTAGGTTGAAGCAAAACCCAAATTTTGAAATTTACTCTCTGATAAGCAAAATAGATAAATGAGGACTGCAATGCAACTGAACCCAAATCAATGGATCCAGGTAGGAGCTGTCGCCTCCAGGAGCTAAGTGCAAGACAAAACCAGCCTTAGAAAAGATACAGAGCTGGGTATGGGGGTACACACCCATAATCCTGGGAAGGCAGACAGGAGGACCTTGAGTTCAAGGTCAGTCTGAACTATATAGTCAGACCTTATATCAAAAAAAAAAAATTAAACCTCCACTCCCCCACAAAAAATCTCTGTAGATATTTCTAAACACTTAGGGAACTCTTAGTCTAGTATGTGTGTGTGGGGGGGTGGTTTTCATTTGTTTTAAGCCTTTGCCTAACATTGAGAGCTTATCCATATTTTTAAAATAGAAATTTATATTACATACAGCTAAAAATTATCAGGATCTAAGAGTGATGAATGAAATGTTTTATCAAACTGAGTAAAATAATATTGGTTTTCATTTTTTCAATCCAAAACAACATTTGTCTATTGTGTGGTAAGTCAGATTTCATTAAGCTCTACAAACATATACAGCAATGTGATTTTACAGACTGGCCTTCAAGATATAGTTATATAGTGCTTATAATAGACAAGGTAAATTTTCTAGCTTCATAAATTACAGAGGCATCAGTTTTACAAAGAAATACTAGAGCATGGATGTGAAAATGCTTTATAATACAGTTTTTATACCACATTCTACTGAGTATTCGTATTTAGGAAATACAAATTTGTTTTTCTTCTCATTCTACACTTTCACTCCTTTTTTTTTTTTCCCCTGTTCTGAGGATTGATCCCTAGTCCTTTTGTTTGTATTTTGTTTTTGAGATAGGGTCTCTCTTGATAACTTTGCCCAAGCTGTCCTTAAGCTTCAAATCTCCTGCCTTGGCCTCCCAAGCACATGGGATTAGAGATACATCTCACTGCTCCCAGCCCTCACCTTTTTCTTGTTAGCTGGTTTACTCTTTTTGCTCACAAATACTTTATCTCTACTTATATCCCTGTTTGTTAGGAAATAACTTATTTTCCTCTCAGATTTTTAAATTTAAATCTAGTTAATTGGTAAGTTCTTATTTTAACATGTGTTGTCTTTATAAAAAAGTACACTAAATAACTCACAAATTTCCAATTGAAATAATTGCTGCTTAATTTAAATTTTATATCCCTTACAATGGATAAGACTTCTATAACAAAGAAACAAGGACAAATCTTAATAATAAAATGTTTTCCCATCAGTACTGTTTATCAGTCCAAAGTGCTTATTACCCTGCACTATTACAAAAATAACCTGAACCAGAGCTAATAATTTTGGGTGTCTATAAAAATATCAAAACATTTTTATAGAGATCCTTACTTATTTCTTATTATTTGTACTCAGCAAGTACTTAAAGCAGTATCTCTAAATTTAACTTAAAAGGAAAGAACATGATCAGCTCATGACCTTGAAAAATACACCCTTGCTTATACTGATTTATTATTCATGACCGCAAACCATTTTGGCCTTTAAAACCAAGTATACCAGTTGACATTTTGACCACCTACAGAACTGAGTTTCACAAGTAAATGGTAAGTCATGTGCAAAAGTCTCATGTTCATTCAAACAGAATGCTGGGTAACACTAGTTTTAATAATCCTATCAGCATTATTTCAGATTGAGTTGCCCTCTACTCAGGGACAGTGAATCATTATTCATGTTTTAGTGATGTCATAATCAGACATCCATGAAAACCACCCATTGAAGCATTATGCCTCCTACCATAAATGTGTAACTCCTTGTTTTAAGTATTTCAATCACTCTTTCCTAACACAAAGACACAAAGCAGACTTAATCTGAGGAATTTAAACTTCCATAACTTTGATCTACTGCCTACTCAAGGAGGAAATGACTGGTTGCCTAAATAAATTTCTAAATAAACTTAGCAAAGCAGCATGTAGACTAAAAATCAACAATAATTCTTCAAAGCCTCCTCCTGTAACAAATCAGATGCTTGAACTCTTTTTGAATATCTAGCCAAAAATGCTTTACATTCAATTTGAATAGCATGTTCAAAATATTTTCTCAGTAAATAATTTGACTGCACTATAAATTAATATGTAAATATGCAAAGAATTCATTGGTATTTAACCACTCACACATTATAAGTGGTCAAATTTTCATTTTCTTCCACTTGTCTGCACCCAGCTGATTTCAGAGGGAGATATTACCATGGTGCAAGGAAGAGAAAGCCTAGAGCAGTGGTGAAAAGCTAGATGACTCTTCACTGGGAGATTCAGAAAGTCTGACTAACATGAAGAACTGTCACATAATCAAATTAGAAGAAAATAACTTAAGAGATGGAATGACATTCTGATGGATTAGTTTAGCCTTTTGTTAAACTAATCTAGACAGGAATTAGATTGTCCATGAGACTACTGAATTATATTAGGAAATAGGAATAAATGAAAACACTGAGTTGTAATGGTACACAGCAAGCTTTGTAGAAATGTAAGATGAATGGAATGCAAAAGCAGCTACTTGAAAAATATCAAAATAATTCCTAGCATTAATTTTACCTTGCCACAATCTAAATAAGATTCATTGTCATATGTTATAGCTAATCTTACTTTTCTTATATATGAGTAGAGATAAGCCACTAAAAAATATACAAATATAATTGTGAACTAAATTTAAATTATTTCTTTCATGTATTCATATACTTATGAGACCATGCATACCCATTTTAATTACAAATTAAGATATTCTGAAAAATATTCATAAAAGAGTGATTTTATAATACTACCTTTTTTTCTTCTTCTTTTCTTTCCTTTTCAGCTTCTCTAAATCTTTCTTAGCTAAATCTATAATTTCAATAGTTTCTTTGTCAGACGATAGTATAGTAGGAGAGAAAGTTGATGACCCACTGAAGTATGGTGATCTTGCTGTGGCTCTTGTCAAGTTCTTCCGAAGGTTCTCATTCACTGCTTCACTTTCTAATAATTTTGCCCTAATAGATATAATGAATATATTTAAATAGGGAACACTTTATTGTGGCAAAACATACATAACATAAAATTTACTAATCTAAGCATTTTTAAGTTTAGAGTTCTGTAACACTAAGCAAATCTATATCTTTATGTAACCATGGCCACCATCCATCCATCTCCAGAACTCTTTCATCTTCCCAAACTCAAACTATGCACCCACTAAATGCTAGCTCGCCCTTCTCCCTTTTATCCCAGCTACTGGCAACCACCATTCTGTTTTGTTTCTATGAATTTGACTACTCTTTTGGGAGCAAATAGGGAATATATTAAATGAGTTGTTTTGTACTGACATTGTTACAAGGTAGGATTTTTTTTTTAATAAATGTGTTCATAAACATTAATGTTTAACATTTAAAAATTTCCTGATTGAATAATTACAAATCTAAAATCACCCTCTTAAGTGGTCAAAAGAACTCTACATCTTCAGATGCCAGTGGTAATTAGATTACTTGAATTCTGGCCAGCAGCACCAGTCATCCTTGCTTTGTAAGCCCATTATTTAAACTTAAAATACACAAGCAGCCTGGTCCTCTTAGTTTCAGTTTCTCATTCAACTCATAGTAATAGCATTTCCAAAACTTCGTAAGGAATAGTTAGTCAAATTGCCCTTAACTGTCTGACAGACATCTGGCTCCTGAATTTGGCATGGGGAAAAAATGGTATCTCCAAGGAAACCTGAGTTTAATAATTGAAAACATTCTTTTGTTTGCTCAAGCAGTCCTCATAATGACAAGAGTACTGACAATAATATGTGAAAACACATTCTGATGAGATCTTAAGAGCCTGGACTCATGACAATAAAAGGAACTCTGAAAACTCTAAGCCAACACCTTTACTTGACTTAAACCATCAAGAACACAATGATGCATTTCAATATCATAGATTTCCAACACTAATTTGGCACATGGGCAACAGAGCTCTGAGAAGAAAATACTGCCCATCCCTGTGCCGATATGATATCAATTAAGCACTTTCACCATATATTCAAATATTTTAGAGGAAAATGCTAGATTCTTTCCAATCAATAATCTTTGAAAGGAAGAGTCAGTTTAGTGTTTTTTCAGTGTCTACCAAACATTATTCATGATACTTGAAACCAGCTATAGAAAGAGTGTACATAAATCAACGAATATGTTTCATGTCGATGTCCCACACATTTTTAGTGAAATCATTTCATTATATATTTGCTGTCATATGTGAGCAGAACAGCAATTAAAATTTTTTTAAATGGTTAAATAAGTCTGGAGTGTGGCTCAGTGGTCAAGCATGTATAAGCCCCTGGGTCAATCCCCAGCACCAAAAAATAAAATAAATGAACAGTTAAATAGCTATGTATGAATGTCTAGACTAATTAAATGACTTCATAATTATTTTAAAGAAAATTCTAGATATAATACTGTCTTTTGGGTTCTTTTTTTTTTTTTTTTTTTTTTGGTGGTACTGGAGTTTGAACTCAGGGACGTATGCTTGCTATACAGGCACTTTACCACTTGAGCCAGGCCCCAAACCCCCATTTTGCTTTAGTTATTTTTCTGACAACATCTTGCATTTTTTTCCTGGGGTTGGCCTTAGACCAAGATTCCCTACCTGTCCCTCCTATGTAACTGGGATTACAGGTGTGCATAAGCACACGTAGCCCATGAATATAATACTGTCATTTTTTTTTTTAAATCGAGGAGGCAACCTAAAACTCAGGTTAACTATCAAAATTCAAAGTCAAGATTCATGATTATCCAACAACAGAGAACAGCAAATAATATATGCTTTTTTATATTTCCAATATAGCATAAATCTTGGATACATAATAATGAATGTTAAAAATGAATGAAAGTATAATAAGTCAGCTAACAATAAAGACCTGTATTTTAACTGACTTTATCATTTCATAACAAATGAGAACATGTATTCTGTTGGGTTTTAACCTGATTTTTAAGTCTTATATTTGGTAGGGGCATATTTAATGCTTCTTCTATCCTGATGCTGACAAACACTGAAATCTCCATAAACCCCAAGCTATGTTAGCAGAAACTGCTTTTTGTACAGGCTATAGAAAGAACATCTGTCTTTTTCCTTTTTATTTTTCTTTCTCTTTTCCTATTCACCCACACACATCCACCTGCTGCTGCCTGCATTTCACTTAGTAGGATTCAGAGCAGTGAGGCATGAGGGGAAGTACACAGACTTCCCTGGGAAGGGGCAGGCAGGGCCTTCATTTCAGCTGCCACTTACTAGATCTAGGTTATCAGTATATAAAAACTCCCTTTGCAAAATGGAGATTAAAATATATTCTTTCCTTAGGATTGTTATGAGAATCAATGATATAATGAACTTAAAACTTGCATAACTGATACTATACTTAAAAATGATAATCTTATAAAAGTTGGAAACAATGTAATTACCCAACAATAGTGGATTTAACAAAACAATGACAACCACAAGATAGTGCCACATGGAATCATGTGAAAATCATCTCATAAAAATACTTAGTAACTTGAAAATGCTCATAATATGATATTTCAAACAACAGACAGCAAAACAACATATATACTCTGATGTCAAGTACACACTGAAGAACTATTGCAGAGATACACCAAAATGTTAACTTCGGCTCTTGGAATGGAAGAAATATGAGGGATTTCAATTTCTCTTTTTATACTTTTTATATGTTAGAAAAATTAACAACCCCCAAAATATAAAGATTGATTAAATAGTGATTACTTCACAAATAATAAAGTGACTGGTAAATTATTAAAAGGTAACTACTACTATTTTATAATTAGAATGATAAGATTTAAAATAGAGATACTCCAGAGTGGCAATATATCAATATAAATTTTCATTTAGTTTAAGGATCTATGAATAAAAGTCTTTGTGAGACCAAGTTTTGACAGAAATATGGACTGAAGTAGGATTCAGAAGGTAAAAACAGAATTTGAAAATTTGAGCCTACATAATAATAACATATTGGCCTTTACAATACCCTTAAGAACTTTTACATTCCATTCTTTTATTTGAGACTCAAAACAACTCTGCGAGAATAATAATTCTTACAGATTAACAAACTAAAGCTCAGAGATGTTAGGTAACTTGGCCAAGGTCACACACCTTATTAATGAAAAGGAGCTTAAATTTCAATCCAGGTAATCCAATTTGTATTCAAGGTTCACTTATGCTTATCTCATATGTCAATTATTTTTACATTGTACATTATAATCCTGGGATTCTAGAAGACTACTCCCCAGGGCTGAGACACATCTAATTAAAGAACCATCAAAGTTGGGAATCTGAAACTATTTAATTAATCCTCTACCAAGAAAGATTTTGTCCATGATTAAAGTCAGGGCCATGAGTCACCTCTATTCTCTAAATGCTTAAGGAATGGTCCTAACTCAAGACCATGAAGAAGGAAGATACTAGATGATGTTGCTTTTAGCCATTAGAAAGAGTTGAAATGACTCAGGAACTTTTCTCATAAATAATTTCATGTCACTGTCCAATAATGAAATCAAAAGTAGGTACAGTCTTAGAACAACAGGGAGGAGGCAAGGAAAGAGATCACAAGAAGCAGAATGTGCAATTAACCATAATCATTGACCAAGATGAAAGAAATAAAAGAGATTAAGAGAAGCTGCCTAGCAATGGCAGAGTCTCTTTGGTAATTAAGAAACAGAGATATCAGTTGTGTCTTGAGGAATGGAAAAGATGGGCTCTACAAAATGAGAAAAGATTAGACAGAAAAAATTCTGGACAGAAGTCAGGGAAGAATCATGGTAGAAACTGGGAGTCCAGGTTGGCTGCTGTACAGAACCAGGACATAAAACCCCAAAGTCCTCTGCCAAACAGTAAAGCAGGAACAATTACACACATTCTCTTATCTCCCCTCTCCCCTCTATCTCCTCTCTCCTCCTCCCCACCTCCCTCCCTCTCTCTCTCTCTCTCTCTCTCTCTCTCTCCCTCCCTCCCTCCCTCCCTCCCTCCACATCAGGATGTCTTCTCATTTGTTCACAATTTATGAAACATTTAAGGCATCTAGTATACTTTGTGGAGTCAGAAACAGTGGAGAAAGTAAGTACTGGTCCTAGTTTGAAAATATCTGGAATAGCTTAAGAAGGAGCCAGTAGTGGGAAAGAGCACAAATTGAAGACAGGAAGTGTCAGGGAAGCTGTGAAGGATGATCTGCCACCTAGTTATTTTCTGCAAATGGGTAGCAGAAGTGATATTTGAACTATTAGATGCTCCCCCCAGGGACATGCCAGAAGTTTTACTTCAAAAGAAAATAGCTTAGCATCAGGGCCTACCAAGGAACAAAAAACTCATGCAGAAATTAATAGCATTCCTGACCTTCTTTCCCATTTCTGTTCTCCTAATCTGAATTCCATGGTCTCTCCACATTCCTACACCATGATAGGCTTTCCTTTACTAAATTCTATCATTCTACTTACTATGTGTGACTTTTTAACAATGCTTTACCTAGACTGTGCACTCCTTATTTATGTCATGTTTGCCTCCGATTCATGGCACAGTACTGGCATTCAGTGAGTAACCACAGCACACTGTGTGAAATGTGCTATGTGGATGTGCCAGAGAAAGGCAGGCAAAGTGGGAGGGATGCAATGATTCACACATAAGAATAGCTGAAGAAGCAAAAGGAGACAGGAGTAATAGGAGATTTTAAAAAAGATTTGCAAATTTTGAGCTATTCCCTAATGGTAGGAGGAAAGGCACAGGGAGGAAAGACAGTAAAGATAACTTCATGAGCATCAGTTATGCTTGTCCTACACGTAAGTTTAGATAAGTATCCAATAGGGAGCTCTGACAAGAGTAGGAGGATAATGTAGAAAAACAATGTGGAAAGAGAAGGGAGGAAAGTAGCTTTGACTATGATATTAGGAGAAAGGCGGTATCTAGCTCTCTAAAATTAATATGACCAAAGCACTGAAATACGGCTAAGGATGTGAGCACTTGCCTAGAGGGCCCTGGGTTACATCCCCAGCACCAGAAAAAAATTCCAAAGCACTCAAATGTCACCATGAAGCGCTGCTGAACAATATTCCCAACAAAAAAATATTATAACCATTGCAAACCCCAAAATTAACACGCACATTATGTGTTACAGAAAAATTATACCTGAGATCTTCAATTTCTTTGATATAACTATGAATCATATTACTAATCTCCTCATTCCCTTCACCTGCAAGATAAAATACAAAATTAAAATTCCCTTTAAAATAAAGACTTCAACAAATAGAAGAAAAAAATGCTTGGAAACAATAATTCCTTTTTTTTTTTTTTTTTTTTTTTTGTGGCACTGGGGTTTGAACTCAACCCCAGTTGAATGCTTTGCACTTGCAACGCAGGTACTCTACAGCTTGAGCCACACCTCCAGCCTTTTTTGCTATAGACATTTTGAAGATAGGTTCTCATTTTTTGCCCAGGCCAGTCTTGACTGCAATTAGACTTCCCACCATACCTGGAAAGACAATGGGAATCACTATGCCCAGCTTTTTTCTGTTAAGATGAGATCTCGCAATGTTCTTTGCCTGGACTGACCCAGAAGCATGACCCCCCCTAATGTCAGCCTCCCACATAGTTTGGGATGACAGGTGTGCACCACTGCACCCAGCTATTGGTTTAGATAGGGATCTCACTAATTTTTTTTGCCTGGGCTGGCCTCAAACCTCGGTCCTCCCTATCTCAACCTCCCAAGTATATAGGCATGAGCTACCAACACCCGGCTCAAAAACAATAACTCTTTACAACAAAATTCTTACAGCAAAACTTCTACCCTTAATTACATGAGCAGACCATTAAATAAAATGCTTCAATAGGCAGAATTTGTTTATATAAGGATTTATTATTTTTAAATTTTAGTTATTTAACTTAAAATCACAGATTGTATACACAAAATTTGGCTTTTTTTCCTTCAACCATTCTAGATAATTAATGATTAATGAACACAAAGAATGTTCTTGCCCTCCAGAAGTTAATCCCTCACTCATCCCAGCTACACCCATACACATACCTGCCCTGGCAAGAACTTGGTTAGCCTGGTCACTCACAAGCTGTGTGATTCTACTCCTCAAAGCATCAACCGTCTCTTGCATGGCTTTTATTCTTACACGCAGGTTGTTATTTTCAGTCTGTAGCATAGCATTCTCATGAAACATGTCATTGATGCTTTCCACACCCTCCTCATCAATTATTCTTTTACCCTAGAAAAGGAAAATATTTCCTTGTTGGTTTAGAAGCCTTAAATACACTAGAGTTTTGTTTAAAGATACTCCAGAACTATACTACAACCAACAGACCTTTTATCTTACCAGCCCCAAGGCAAAAGATCCTTTTTCTTCTACTACAACCCTTCATGGTACATTAATCACTAAAACAACTGATGGGGTAAGAAACCTTTTGAACAAGTAGTTGTTGGGTTAGACTGACTATCACTAACACTACCTATGTCACAAGGAAGACTAGCAAATCCTACCTCTAAAATAACTCCACCAAGAGACCCCAGAGACACGTGTGTGCAAGCAAGACAAAGAGACATCACTGAATTCACAACACGTCAGCCTTAGATCCCTCATAAAATGCAAGTCAACCCATGTAGCTTACTGTTTTGTACTCCATGAGCTCCATCTGAAGTCGTGTGATCTCACTACGGAGTGCATTGATTTGTTGACTAGCTCTGTCTTGATTGACCATGACCTTGTTCTTGATGTTTCTAGCTCGATTGGCATATTTCAGAGTATTCAACGTTTCCATAAAATCTCTGTCTGAAGGGCTGACACATGCTATCATAATCGTTTGGCTGAAAGTTACAAATAACATTAGATGTAGAGATAAAAGAAAATAAAATACTGAAATTATTATTTTCAAATTCCTGCTATTTGAATAGTAACTTCCTTTCAAGATAACAAAATATCAATGCTACTAATTTAAAAATAAAAGCAAGTTTAAAAGACCCCATGCTGTAAGACCATCTTAAAGGAAATGAACTGTTTCACTTAGTAATAAGTGAAAAAGAATTTTCTTTGACCCACAATACCTTGAGGCAGTATCACCAAATATTTTTATTTCTTGCTTCTTTACAAAAACATTTTGAAGCAATGCACATAATAATTCTAAAATTAATCTAACTACAAATACTGTAAGATGAAAATCAAAACCAATTTAATTATTTACTTATTTTAGTATTTGAAGAAGTTCTTCCTTTTATTGAATCACTGGTATCCTGACTAAACAGTCAGCAAAGAATTTTACACAAAATTTATCCTCCTCAAACCAGTAGAGCTTGTACTGTATCCTTCTGTTTCACAGTATAAAACATTGTTTGCGAGTGAATAATCAAAACTGTAGCTCCTGGCCAGATTACACAGGAAAGAAATGGCAAATATTACCTTATGGTCTGGATAAACTGCTTTACTGACCAAAACATAGGATAGTGAAATAATTACTATACCCCCACTATAATGTCTGTCAACGAACATACGGAGGAACTACTGGCACTCACAATCTAACTAAATCTTGTATAGTTCCAATTAAAGACCTAATTACCTACCCTGGTAGAAATCAATGCCTATCAATTCTAATCTATAGTCTTCTAAATGGTCTCTTGCTTCCACTCTTGTCTTCCCCCAGTAATCTGAACATAATACTAGCAATGGTTCTTTTAAAAGGGGGTCCCACTGATTGGTACAGTAAGGCATCTATAATCACAGCTTCTCAGGAGGTAGAGGCAGGAGGATCCAAGTCATTAATAATTGTTTGATCATTAATAATTGTGGGGCTGGGAGTGTGGCTCAAGTAGCAGAGCACCTGCCTAGCAAGGACAAGGCCCTGAGTTCAAACCTCCAGTATGGCAAAAAAGAAAAATAATTAAAAATAAATGAATGAATGAATGAATGAATAAATTATGTCATATATGTCTTACATATTAAGCTATGTTATCTTACAATACATCTGGAAGAAAATACACCACAGTGTTAGCATTAGTTACTTCTAGGTTTACTCATGCTTTATATTTTTCTCTATTTTCCAGAATTTTTTGTATAAACTTGTGATAGTGCTTTACTAAACATTATAAATGTATAAAAGCCAGTTTGGTTTAAAAAAATAAGAAGGCACTAAATTATCAACAGAAATATATGAAGCTTATTTCCAAAAGTATATTTGACTTATATTTTCTTTTAAGCTTACATAAATTTCAAAAATGAAGATATTTTGCTTTCAAGGTTTATAGAAAGTACAATGCTTTTGAGCTGGGAGGTTCAAGCCTACACGTTTAAGCAGAAATTGAGGCACACTAAGGACAGAAGGCCCGTTTCCTCCTCATGAGGGAAACAGATGAGGAGCCTCTGACACTGCTGAGCTGTGGCCTGTCTAGAGCTCAACAGGAATTCAAGACCCACAGTGAATATATTTCCAACTGCTTACCAAGCAAGCAACCGTTCAAAAGTAGTGAAGTGTTCAAAAGAGTACTTAAACTTATAAGGAGATGTCATTTATCATCTCTATTTTGATTAACAGTTAAGAAATAAACTTAGGGAAATACTACAATTTAGAGAACTTACAAGTGAACATACAGCTTCAAAAACAAAAGTTTATGTTGTTATAATAAGCCCTATATTGATACTGAAGTTCAGACAAAAAAAATAAACTACAAGAATATGCAAAATGGAAGCAAAATTGCATACATGCATAAGATATCATAAAGAAGAGATGAGTTACTATATAAAAATAGCTATACAAAAAATGTTGAATTTTATACAACAAAATGTTATTCTAATCCAAAGTGATTTCAAAACAAAATAAAACTTAACATTACTCAAAATTCTTTGAATAACTTTTTCAAAAAGAAAAATGATCTGGTATGGATTACCATACCAGATCATTGTATAGCATCTAATAATCTTTTCAGCACCCATGATTTGTTAGATCATTGAAAACCCTGTAAAACAGATTTGCTGAGCCTGTTTGTGACTTGTTGAATTGTTCTATGGCCACATTTAAATGCCAAAAATGTTTCCACTTGCAGAGTCAACATGTTGACGTTAACAGAGGGGAATGCATACCAAAATGATGTGTGCAGATGACTGAACTCAACACAACAGTGCAAAGAATTGGAAATGAAGAATATCAGTGATATTGGCAAAATTAATAACAGCAAGCACTACATATCTCATTCAGTTGATATTTTTATAAAAAGTTATTCCACATACAAAAAAGAAGTTTAAATTTTAGGAGATCCTATACAATAGAATCCATAATAATCAAACTGCTTTTTAATTACTTAAAAGATTGCATTTACTTTTTCAACAAGTTTTTTTAGGCATGAACTGTGTGCTAAGCACTTAAAGCAGAAACTACGCTATGGTAAAAAAAATCACATACAATAGATTTCATTTACAAAATTAAGTGACATTGAATAAATTATTTAATCTCCCTGGATTTTAATTTCCTTATCTATAAAATAGGAATAATAATACCTACCTCAAGGACTGGTTTGAAGATCAAGTGAAATGATAACATAAAATGACTCACACATTTTAAATACTTAGTATAATTATCATTTCCTCACCTTATTAATTTGTATTATAATAAAAGCAGTTCTTACAAATCACCTTACAAGTTTACTTTTAAAATAATGGATAATCAAAACTCAAGAATATGCGGATAATCCCTTACGCATACCTATTGCCCCCAAGGGAGTCCTGCAGGAGCCTTGTCAGTTTGGAATCTCTGTAGGGGACATGGGTGGCCTTCTTGCTCTTGTCACCCAATGCACTTATTACATTGCCAAGTGCCAACTAAGGGAAAATGAGAGAGGAAAATCATATTAAATTACTAGTCATAACACATTTAAATAAAGAAAGTCTACAAAAATAAAGTGGAGACATGACAAAATTAAGAACAGCTCTGGTTTGGTTTTATGTATGTATTTTCAAGTACAAATAAACTTCAATTTTTAATTGCTAATAACTGACACTACTCAACATTTATATATACATACGTACACACACATAAATATATATACAGTACTCATAACTCACAAATATGTAAACCTCTACTCAGAGATTTGTTATAGAAATAGAAAAGTTACAAGACTGACAATTTCTACCTATCCCTGGAGCATCTGGTTGTGACCCCAGAAAATTCTCAATTCATGTTGCAAATTCTTCTCCTCAGCTCAATGAAGAAATAAAATGTTTAGTTAGTTAACATTTCCATGAGCCTTTCTTATTGCAATACAGGTCCTTATGTGGCTAAAATCTCTTTTAACCACAATTCCTATACAAGTAAAACTGTTCTTAGCTATTTAGTGTGTGCTTAACAAAGGATGTGTGTTGAGCATTCAAATGTCTTTAAAAGAAAAGAAAAAAAACTAAGTCCAATCACAGAACTCTACAGTCACTCTTCCTGCCACCTCCACTGTTTCTACTGTTTTTACTACTGTCAATAAGCTGGCACCTACAGGATAAGCATTATTCAAAACATGGGTCACATAGCAAACATTTATAACCCTGTCACTGTCAGGACAAAGACATACACAGCAAGTGCCATCGGGAACACACTGCATCGTGGTCCTCCTCTTCCAAACAGGCTAAGGCCTTAAGCACTGCCCCAGCAAAACTCTACTAGAAATGTCTAAATAGATTAAAAAGGAAGATGGAGCAATGGTTTTTGTCTACTCCTGAAAGCACAAATATGAAAGCCATCCTATCTCCTAAGAAATTCAAAACAATGCACAAAGTTCTGGATCGAGGTTATGACCAATATCCACAGCATTGAAACACAGGATGCAAGCATCAAGGTAGGTATTGGTATTGGGAGGCCAGGCTCTCTCTAGTCAGCCTCCATTGACAATACCCCCACCCAGAAAGGCCATAATCATATAAGAGTAAATATTGGGCAATAATGAAAAAAAGAACGATATGACTGAGCATGGTGGCTCACACTTATAATCTCAGCTATTTCAGGGAGGTGGAGATCAGGAAGATTGTGATTTGAGGCCAGCCAGAGTAAAAATGTGAGACCTCATCTCAACAACAACAACAACAAAAAAAAAAAAAACTAGGCATGGTGTTGCACACCTGTCATTCCAGCTACGCAGGAAGCATAAACAGGAGGATCATGGTTCAGGCAGGTCTGGGTGAAAACACAAGACACTCTCAAAAATAACCAAAACAAAAAAGGTTGGGGGCATGACTCAAGAGGTGCAGTGCCTCTCTAGCAAGTGCAGGCCTTGAATTAAAAATTTAAACACTAGTACTGCCCAGGAGGGGGCGGGGCGGGGGGGCGGGGAGGGGGGGGCGGGTCCCGGGAGTCCGGTGGGAAACACGTTTGGTACCCCCAGCTCCAAAATGGGAGGAGAAAAAAAGCAGGAGGCACACAACTAAATATTGTCACATCAGTGAAATTCAGGGATGTTACTACTTTTATGTGGGAGCAAGTGTCCAGTTTTATAGTGAACACAGTAAGAAAAGATACAGTGCACAAAAGTTTTCTCTATACAATTTTCTTGCATGTAACAGTAGCCTTCTGCTAACTCAATCACAAGATGTTTTCCAAACAAAATACCACTAGGTGGCATGGCATTAAAAAATATATTAGTTTTGAAAAAATATTTTGAAAAAATGTTACCAAAAACCTTTGGCTATAATTATCAAAATCAATGAGATGACTGTCATAAAATGTTAAGAAAAAACTCTTGATTATTAGTCCATGAAAGACATACTATTACATATTTATTCTGATTGCATATTTTTAAATGTGGAAAGAAGTTTTAAAACAATTTCTGTACATAAAATCTGCACATATCATAAAATTTAATCTAGTTAAATTTATACATGTGAAGAAAACCTATGATGTTCAAAAGAAAACAATGTGAGGTTAGAGATGCAATGAATTACTAAATCTATTACAACTTTCATTTCTCAGGTCAGATATCTGAAGGGTTTATGCTTATGTATTACAACAGAGAAAACAAAGCTGGATATGTTGCTGCAAACCCATAATCTCAGTACTCCAGACAGAAGCAAGAAGATCACCTCAAGTTCAAGGCCAGCCTGAGTTACATAGCAAGACCTTGTCTTAAAAACAAAAATAAACAAACAAAAAAATACACAGTGAAAACACAGTAGAAAAGCCCTGTTTATCCCCACCCAAAGCGTACAAGACCACAATTGATGGATATGCCTTCTTTTGCCCTCTCTCCTGTAGCTCCAGTTCGCTTCAGTCTTTCTGATCCTGCCAGATCAACAAAATGGAACTTTGCAGTCAGAGTTTCAAATTCATTCATCTGTGATGCTTCAGAAACCATCTTATTATCAGTTGCATTTTCCTGCAATCAAGGAAAGTCATTGAAAGCACTTTCTTCATGTGACAACTAAATACCCTTGCCCACATTTCATATACAGAAATAAGCACAGTCAAAAGAAAACAGGCATGTAGTGAAATTAATATAAATGCAAAACTGTCTGCTGAAAATTAGGAATAATGTCAGAAAGAACTAGAAGGACAGACCCCAACATAGAGAATGAGGTGAAAGTATGTATACTCTCCAAAAGTACGTGGCACCACACAGCCACAGTGTGCTTCCTGGTTGTCGAGACACATATCCAATTCCACCCCCTCCCCAAATCTTATATGGTTGGCCAGCTTCGATTTAAATAAGATCAGAAGAAATTAGGAAATGGAATAATTAAGTCAAGTACACTCTGCTGGGATTCATGTGACTGTAAGGAGATAAAGACTGAAAGTATAAGAAATGAGAACGAGTAACTCACAGCATCTACTTGGGGACACACTCTGGTCTGACACACGTGAATGGTAAAAATGGCATGTGAACGAGAGCTCTGGACATTCATCTGTGTGCTGGCTGTGGTGCGGGATAAAGCACCTAGCTTCAAACACTGCATCATCTGGAACCGGAAAGAAGAAGGGCTTTACATGAACAACACTTAAATGAGACACCCCACAATCTGATGTCTGAGCTAATGGCTAAAACCCACCAGATGATGGGAAATAAAATAAAATAGAATAAAAGATGTGGATTTCTTATTATTTTTTAGATACAGGCACTTTCTGAGCTGGCTCAGTAGAATAGCGTATTATTTTTTAAATAGGAGAAAACACTGAGATTCCACTGTTTGCCTTTTGCTGCATTGCAGCTTCCATTCCACAACTGTTAGAATAGAATACATTGATACAAATTGAACAATATGTAGCATACTTAAGACCCCATAATGAAACTCACCAAACACTGTTTTAAAAGGAGGGGAGGACAAAGAGAAAGAATGGAGATAGTTGGGGGGAGAACTTGTTCAGGTACACTATACACATCTATGGAATTATCACAATTAAATTCCCTTGTAATATTAATATATGATCATTCAAAAATAATTTAAAAAAAAGAATCCTAGCAACAAAATTGAGACCTAGAAGAAAGCAAGATAAAGAAGTAACATTTTTGAGGGATAATTAATTTGAATCTAGTTGTATACCTAGAATAAATAATCCAATTTTAAAAGTATAACAAAATTTTAAGTAAACAAGTCTCTTTGGGTTCTTTGGGTTTTGAACCCAAATTGAACAATAACTAATCTGTATCTCCTATTGTATTTTTTTTTGTAATTTTTTTCTTAAGCATCCCTTTAGAAGTCAAGCTATGTTATAAAGCAAAAAGGTGGATGTGGTCTCATCCTTCACCATCAATTATCTAACCTTCTTTATCTGTGATAGAAAATTATACATACATTGCTTTAGATTCTTTTGATGCTATGATAAATGTACTGACTTTAACATAACCCTGACATTTTTATAATAATAACCTGCATTGAAAAATGTAAGGAAATAAGGCAAGATTTTAATTCTGTTACACATAAGAGTATACATTTTATAACTTGATCTTAAGCAGACTACTAGTAATTGTGACTAAATAAAGCCAGTTACACTATATTTTTAACTACAACATAGATGTTACCTCTGATTCTGTATTCACAGTACGTGTTGTGACTCCCACAGTATAAATTCCTCCAGTTGAATCTTCATGAATTCTTATATTTGATTTTTTATTTTTTGCATCAATATCACGAGTGGTATCAAATAAGTCAAGAACTTCTTCATTATACAACTATCAAAAAGAAATATTAAATAGTTGCTTTTGGTAGAAATTGCCTCATGAGTATCATAGCATACTTTACATAATTTATCTTTTAAAGTTCTTCAAAATGATACCTATTTCTTCAAAATAACGTATAAATATGAGCAATGCAGTTATTATAATGAATATAAATGCCAGATTTACTTATAAGAACAGTAAATGACTTAAATATACATGACTAATGGATTGAGAACTAGCTAAAATGATCAACTAATTCTTTGCAAAACATAATCAAATACTTAAAAGTATAAGCAAACATCAGTAAATATGTACCAAATATAGATAAATCCTAAGCTTAGATTTTAAGAATTTTTGCTACTTGAGTTAAAAATATATTAATATATTTTTGTCCCACAACCCACTTAATGTGTCCAGAAATCAACACTTAACAATTTTTATTTTTATTTTTATTTTTTGTAATACTGGGGTTTGAATTCAGGCCTATACCTTGAGCCATTCCACCAGCCCTTTTTTTGTGAAGCGTTTTTTTTCAAGATGGGATCTCATGGATTATTTGCCCGGGGTTGGCTTTGAACCATGATCATCCTGATCTCTGCCTCCTGAGTAGCTAGGATTACAGGTATGAGCCACCGGTGCCAGGCTAGAAATCAATACTTAGCAATTTTTCAAGGTCAGAAACAATATCAGCGTTTCTATATCAACAGTGGCTGATAAGATCTAGCTACCTCCTCAGAAGAGAATACAGACACCTATTTTTCTATGAATATGCTGAAAAGTCATAATGCCTAACAACATTTTGGACAGTGGAAGGGAAAATGGAAGAACACTTTTTCTACTATTACTTACTTTACCTTTCACAGAAATACATAGTTATATTCTCCTTGATTTTTAGTAAACAAGGATGTCCATTAAAACCAGCAGTAAGATCAATGATACTAATTATTTATTTTGTGATAAATAATGCTGAATAAAATGTTTCAATGAGCAAAATGATTAACTTATAGATCAGGTGACCTAAACTAAATAAATTTTGGATCAAGAATTCAGAATTATCTTGCCACAGCCCACCTAACTGCAGTATTGCTCAAATCCCATGTGTCCTTTCACTGTGATGTCCCTCCAACAGACTATACTGCCTTAAATTAATCCAAACTTACCCTGACCTTTGGACACTGTATCATTTCTCACATTCTCCCCTCTTTCTTGGTCTTAGTTGCTGGCTTCCTAGCACTTTATGAACCTGACTAAATTACTACAGTAATTTATCTTTATCCCTTGATAAAGAAATCTTCTTAGACAACCAATATTAATTGTAGTTTTGCTTTATGGATACTGGCCAAGTGTTTATAATCTTAAATGCCAACATTATTGCATACAAGTAAGGTATACATATTACCTATTAATTAATATCAATTTACACAACTTTTCTTGAGTGCTATATGCTAGGTACTCTACTCGAAGCCAACAATATAAAACTTTAAGGATAAAATTTAAAGGAAACCAATGACACAATTAGATTATTACCTCTAAGAATTGGGCATTCACTTTAAAATCTGGAGGAGGAAGCCCATTTTTAATTGCTGTGTGTTTTTTTTCTTCAATACTCTTGAAAAGGTGTTTAACAGCACGAGAAATAATCCCTTGATCTTCTTCAACAATGTTAACATCAAATCCTGTTCCCATTGTGTATGTTTTGCCAGCTCCAGTCTGAAAAACAGAACGCAGACAAATGAATGCTCAACCACAACACAATCCCGAGAAATAGAAATGAAAGTGCAACTGAAATGGTAATTCTGAAAAGTTACAATTCCCATGAAAATAACACAGAACTTACCTGTCCATAAGCAAAAACTGTAGCATTGTATCCTTCAAAACACCCTTCAATTAGTTTCTCGATACATTGAGTGTAGATCTGTTCTTGCTGGGAGTCGATGTCAAACACAAAATCAAATGTAAAAGCCTTATCTTTCCCTAGGAAGACCTGAGGTTCCCCTGGTGTGACTGATGTGCAAATATGGCATCCTTCAATTTTTTCTTTGGCAAGCTGTGGTCTTATTCTGTGAGAAATAATCAGGAAAAAAAATAAAATGTCAAAAAAAACTTTCAAGAAATAGGACTTAAAAATTCTTCACCAAATCTTTAAAAAAAAAAAAAAGACTAATGTAATCACACACTATTTCTTTGGTTCATAAGTTCAAGTGAAGTGAATTGTAATGAATAATTTCAGTATACAAGATGACTTACCAAAACAACCCCAACGATTTACTTAGCAATACCCAGTCATTAAAAAGAGTATAAAATTCATCTTAAAATTAAGTACTTATTCAGGTAAATACTTCTACTCAACACTTTAAAAGGTAGATGTTCAAATAAATTCAGCTACCAAAATGCAGTTTATTTTTATTTTTGTTTCAGATTTTTCCAGTGATCATCACATTCAAAAATGAAATGTTAAAGACACAGTATTTATCTTGATGGCCTCATCCTTCCACAAATTCTTTATCAGCAGTTTCCAAGCTTATTTGACATATTATCAGCTAAATGTGTTTAAGCATATCCCCACAACAGATATATGCATATCTATTCATTTGTTAATGATATGTATGCAGGTACCATTATATTGACTGGTCATGTGTTAAAATACATACAGAAACAGAATTTTGAAAAGAAAGAAAGCAAAAATAAATACAAATAGAAGTGCTAGTATTTTCTCTCTAAAATTCAGGGAATTATTATGAGTTAAACACCTTCATTTGGAAGACCACAGCACCATAGCTATCTCCACCTGCACCAGATTCCATGACCTTCCCATTCTGTCTTCCGTTCATAATTTCGAGGCCTCTTTTCAAAGAAGGAAAGTAAATATGGAAATAAACAGAACAACGCAAAATCTGGCCCCATTCTCTTCTCTCTATAAACAGGAACATCCTGGGAATACACACAAGTCATGTGTAGGTGACTTAGGTTTTTGAGGAGATTCCTACTTGCCACAGAGAAAGAGAAATAGTTTTAAAAACAAGACAACCAGAGTTAGAAAAAAAACATAAAATGGTAAAGACAGGGAGAGGCCTAAATTTTAAAGGTTCTAGTCTCACAGCCTTATTTTTTTGAGCTAAAACTCAGGTCCACAGAGGTAGAATAAGTTAATATATTTATTAAAGATAAACCCAATCATGAATCTAGACCTTATGTCTTAATTCTTTTTAACTCAAGATAGAAGCTCAATGGAAGGACAAGAAAGATAATACTAAAAGGGAGTGAATGTCTGCAAACCTCTTTAACTAAAATAGAATTGTGTGCTTGCAAAAAATGAAAGTAAGGAATATATTTATGCAAAGCTTTCTTTCCTCTGTGATATGGTATTTTCTTTGATAAAGTCTTTAGCTGTGTTTGTTTTAATGAAACATAATCCATGTGGGGCTGGCTAGGCAGTGTGGAAAGAGTAATAGAGTAGCCATCAGAAGACTTGGGTTCTACCTCTGTCACCACACAGATCTCATGTGGTCTTCTCTCAGTGCACCAACTTCCTCACTTGTGGAGGGAAGCTACAGTTTCTGAGATTCCTTTTAGATCTAACACTGTTTGTGTGTAGGATATGATATAAAAAAGACAGAGAAAAATAATACTTATGCACTGTTCTAAAATGATAATATTGCAAAACAAAAAATTCCTCATGAGAAGCCATGTTCATAGACCATAAAAAATAGCTCATAGCAGAAGCAGCTTCAGTTTTCTGGTTCCATACATTCTTTTACTGTGATTTAAACTAGGGCCTTGAGCTTGCCAGGCAGGTGCTCTACCTCTTGAGCTATGACCCCAGCCGTTTTTTTTTTTTTTTTTTTAACTTTAGTTTGGTTGTTTGTTTGTTTGTTTTCAGATGCATCTCTTGTGTTTTTGCCCAGGGCTGGCCTCAGACTCTGATATTCCTACCTACACTTCCTGTGTAGCTGGAATTACAGCAATGTATTACCACACCTGACCCCCACATATTCTTGTTTCTCAAAATTTATACTCTCTTCTTGCCCAACTCTTCCTCTCCTACTTTAGGAAACCATAACAAAACCCCAATCCTCTCTGGGAGAATGACCATTTTGATTATCCAGGGAAAGGAGAGCCTCAAACAACCCTCTTCTCTATTGCAACAATCTGATCTATCTCGAAGAGCTATTAATTATCCCTGAAATAGCTCTCCAGTCCACCAAGTTCTTTCTTTCCTCATCTATTCAAGGCCATCATTATCTGTTACTTAGAATATTGCAAAAGTCTCGTCACCCATGTGCCTCCGTCAAACCTTGCCCCTGACAATGGAGTATCAGTGATATTTGTAAAATACAAAATTTATCAGGTTGCTAAACCTCTTTAGTCAACCCTCTGCCATGGTCCAATTTGTAATAAAGGATTTCCACTAGTGGGAGTGGTGAGAGTTTTAATGAGTTTCACTAAAAAGCTCTGCTCTCTCTACTGCTTCCACACCTTCAAACATATTGCTCGCTTCCCATGGATACTCTTTTCGACCCTCTCAATTCCCTCACCCTCTCAATTCCCTGATCCTTTACCAGTTGGAACATCTTGTTTTCAATCTCTGTTGATATATCAATCAATCTGGAAGCACCCATAATCTCCCTATATTCCAATATAACATCAGACCTGAGTTCAGCATGTTCTCTCTCCAGAAAGCTACCTCCTTAACCCAAGGTCTCTGCTCTCTACCAGCTTTATAGCTGCCACTCTGAGAACTTAACAAACCCCATGTAATAAAACAAATAAAAGTAAACACAAGTATATACATGAAAATGAGCAGTAGGATAATATGTGAAATCAGTGGCACATTAAATTTTAAGTAAATTGATTATAAACATAGGCTAATTTATTTGGTTATTAAGATACTTTTAATTTAATTTCATTTCCGCACAACAAAGAAAAGTTAAGTGCCATTTGTATTGCAGACCTGACAGACAATTTTAGAATACCAATGTCACTCTCTGAATGTCTTTAATGTGACCTCCTAACCTCTATTCATCTGATTGTTATCCTTGCTAATGGCAAGGAGGATCTGTTTGAAGTGGGAATGATGTCTAATTCCACTCATTTGCATGGGTGGAAGAGAAAAAATGGTTTTAAATGTCAACATGATGTGTTTTTCTATGAGATCCAGGTAATGGCAATTTCCTAGTAGGTTTGAGAAATTCCCACTGGGGAGGGGGTGGTATTCCACAAATGCAGACTAAGTGGAAGGTAATTATCTTCAAAAGCTAGAGATGTATTTCCCTTCCAAATCCTCTTCAAAAAATTTGTATTTTAAATTCCCCCAAACCCTGAATTTATACTCAAGTCAAGAAATCTCAAAACCCTAACCTATGTCAATTTATCTGCTTAAAATACAGACAGCGCTGCTACAAACCTCAATTTCAAAACTATTATTTGAGATTATGTAGAAGCAAAATCCAATACAAATCCTTCTGAGAAAAAGAAAGCCAAAAAAAAAAAAAATGAATCTGACATTTACCACTGTGAATTATTTTTAAATATCTTCTTCCTCGTATTTCTGTGCAAGAAATAAGATCATTAAACACACTCATCTAATCCCAACACTAAGAAATTATCAATGCAAACATTTTGTGTACCATCAACACTAAGAATAATCTATCCTTACAGGCCTTTAATAATGTATAGTCATATAACCAGATATATTTGAAACTGCTTCTTAAAGAAAATCAATATGCATAAAAATTATGCTATGCATATTCAGGATAGGATATTGTAACATTTTACAGCAATATTATATTGCAAAAGGCTACTGAGAACATATAACTATATATATATAGCATGCAGATAATTATACATTATATATTATATCTATACATCTAAATAATCATAGATATATAGTTACATACATATGATTACATTGCATGCTGATAATTATAATTACAGTTATTAAAAAAATGTAATTTGTTATACCTAGCTTTGGAAGGTTTGAAACAGAACATGAAACAGGCTGTTAATTAACTTTAAGATGAAGAAACATAAACAAATGTGGTCCTCAATTTCTCCCATCTGAATTTTTCCCCAGCACTATTTGGCTTCTACTCTCACACTCTATGAAACTGTTCTGACAGAAGGTCCCAATAATTTTCTTACTTCCAAATACCGAGGATCTTTTTCAGTATTCATCGTACTCAAAATCTGATTCAATTTATAGCCCTGTATTTCTCAAATCTCTATTGCAGTTGGCTTTTGTGGAATCCCTTTTGTTACTGATTCTGATTTCTGAAGTGATAGTTTCCCTTATACCACATATATGTAAAAATGTCAGTCTTTCCCAGAAAAAAAAATGTCCATATTCTTAGCTTGGTATCTAACAATTTCCTACTCTGGATTTTCCCTGATGCTGAATTAATTACTTATTCCTCCCAGGAATTTCTTCATGATTTTAGTATACCAGGTATCAAATTGAATTATTATTTCTCCACTAGTAAAAGAGTCTTTAGAGACACAGAATATATTTTATAAATTAATAAAATAAAGTAACTTAACAGATGCTTACTGACTGACTTCTATAAACCATACTAGGTAAGAGGAGAGTAATAATAACCTAATCTCTACTCTGCCACAAGAAACTTGTCTTGAACAACCACTTAACCATTCCACATTTCAGTTTTAATCTATAAAATGAGGAGTCTAGATATAATATTCAGATTTTTGCAAGTTCAAATTCTATTTAATTAATCTTTTGCCAAAAGCAAAAGTTTCCTATGTCAGCTTTTAAAAGGTGGCAATTAAACTATTTTTTTCTTCTCTGCCAGACATAATACCTACCTTTAGTTTAACCACTTTTGCCTCATTTCTTCATGGTTCCTGTTGTCTACCCCTGCTGTTGTAGTATATACCCTTGCAGCCATAGGGACAAGAAGTTTCATTTATGAAAACATTATCATGGCCCCTTGCTGTAGCTACCAAAGACCACAGATTCTGAGATTGAATCTAGTAAATTTCCCCAAATCAGGGCTGCTTTCTCTTCGTCTTTATAATAACCAAACTATTTTTTGGTAACTGAATA